ATGCAGGACTCTGGCTTTTTCAAAAGAAAACGTCGCGCTTTTGACGCTCTCCACAGAGGATCTTAAAGACAAGAATTCTGATTGCAGTGTTTCATTCAGAGCACCCAGCGTGAACTTAAGTTCTGTCATGGATAGAAGACATTCCTCGTTGTCTAAGATGCACTTGGGATCCATTACTTTAGTTTCACAACCATATTGCTTGCAGCATTGGTATGGCGGTCCGTATCCACCTGGCTTTGCCCTCATTGTGTGACCATTGCATTTCACTTCCTTAATGATCTGCTCTACTGATTTCACTTTGTATATTTTGTGGTCGTACTCCACAATTTGAGGCTCAGCTGGCACTTTTTCGTAAGTATTGGAGCAACCAAATATTGACTTCTTGAAAGCTCCAACGATACCTCCTATTACACCTCCAACAACAAAACCCACAGCACCACCGACCGGGCCTTTCAACACCTTTCCAATTATTAATCCAATTTGAGCCCCTTTTTGAGCATATTTGAAAACAGTTTTTGCGGAGATGCCAGACCTACAGTTTCCAGTATAGACTGTTTTATATCTAGGAACTGTGAAACTGCGTTTTTCAATCTCCTTCTTTATAACGTTAATTGTTATGGGTTTGACAACTGTGTTGCAATGCCGTTGAAGATAAGTTATATTTATGGAATCCTGGCAAAGGTCCGGAGTGACGCAGCCATTTAAACAAGTGTAATTACACTCTTGTAACTCACAAATGTAGCCTCTGACGTTCTCGAGAAAATAGAAGGTGCTGTTAAACCGTAGTTTCGCAAGATGGTATTTTAGACGTGCAAGACGGAGGTCCTCAGCAGCTTTTTCTTTCCAGACCTTCAACTCCTCCACAACTGACTGTTTTGACTTAAGGACGTCTTTAACGAAGACTGCTTTTGTTTTTGCATCAATATATGCTGAATGGGAGTACGCTAATCTTTGTGTTGCATCACTCGCCGCCATAGTAGTTTCATTTTTTATCATCTTTTCAAGAAGGGAATGGAGGTGTGACGACGTATTCATCTTACCTTCCACTCTAAATACTATGGAATCCCAGTCAACAACGTTATCAATTTGAGCTGTGACATTTAACAGTGCGTCAAACTCTCCAAACATATTGCCTGAGATGACAAAGGATAACTCACTACCAGTAATTTTTACCATTGCTTTTTTGCTCATTCCAAGTAGGTGAACAACACCCTCAAAGGTTGTGGAAACAAGGTCACGATCACGCGATAGGAACATTTTCAACGTTTCACCGGCTGGAAGTGTTATTAGACTACCAAGAGAAATAGTATTCAGAGCAGTTCCTTCAACAACTAAACCGGCTTGTTGTCGTGATGGGTTGGTGTGACAATCTTTGCCATGCAGGGACCAGATGCTTGATTCTATGTTTGCAAAGCAGAGCTTCTCGTGGCATATTTGAGCAGTCAAAAGAAATCGCAAACCTATAAAGTTCTGCTGAATAACAGACTTGGAGAAAGAAAGAGAGATGGCCTTGGGGAGGTCTGCCCTTAATTTAATGAAACGATAGATAAAACTGTTTATACTTGTTTGATTCCTGTAGGGCTGCAACTTAGCTATAAGAAGGTCAAACGCGCGAGATATGACATCAAGGTCGTCATCTAGCTGCTTCACAAGCACTTTCAACCCCAGCCAATCGGAAGCTGAGGACAGAAGGTGTCGAGCTTTGGTCACATCTGCTAATATCTCGTCTGCCACTGCCTCCCACCTCTTTGTGTTGGATTGCAGTTGAGGCACAGTTCTTCCAACATCAAGGAGAGTTCGTTTAATTTCTTGCGCCTGCCATTCGACAAACCTCAGGTTGTTGTTATCGTCTTGCCCTGAGATAACGTCACCACCAGTCACTGAATGATAGATCTGCAGATATTTCAATCCACCATCTGGCCTGATGATATAAGCCAATGGACTTTCTCTGAAAAGTTTTGAGGATCGTTCAAGAGTGAAAACGAATCCCTGAGGCACTCGGCAATCATCACTGAAACCTGATGTCAAAAACGTGATTCCTGCGACATCGACAGAGAAAATATGTACTGTTAATTAACAAACTTTTCAGTAGATTTACAAACTGGTTGCTCTATTTCTAGTTCTTTTTTATCTTCGAAAATTGTTTAATCTAAAACTGGTGAGTCACGTGAGTATCGCTTGTACGGAACAAATATGGCTATTTCGTCATCATTTACCACTTCTGTGATCAAGTGATGCGAAAAGAAAATGGCTTTTAGTCTATATAAAAATACATTTTAATAAACCAGAAACTGTTCTACGTCATTCACGGAGTGCTTGTCCTAGGAGACAGAGGATAAAATTCAGTAGCCATTATTTTTTATCAACAGAACATTTCACACCTCCAAATATAGCTTTCCCAATAACATCGCTAGAGTAAAAGGTTAAAGGCAATGCTTCTCCAAGGCTGTGAAGGGTGATGTTCAGCTCAACTGATCCATGGAAGACAAATCTTATTGCCCTCGAGAAATAACTGGTAAATATCTACAAGAAAAAGATTAAGATAAACCGTGGTACAGCTATAATGCTCATAGAGCTTTTTAACAACCTACAGAAAATGCTGCAGCAAATTGAAAAATAATACAAGAAAGGTGGTAGTTGTGTTTTGCTGAAAGCTAACAGCTCAGGAAAACGCTATACTTACGGCATCTAAGTTTTCTGTGAAAGCAAAGGCTTCTCCGCTCAGTTTCATATTTACAGCCTGATCTGCGTTACTTAGATCAATGTTTGCACTTCCTTGCCACCACCAGTTATAATAGAAATTGGAGAAATTTCCAACCAAGTGACCGTTTGGTACACTGCTTAGTACAGACCTGTTGTATATTCGTGGAGTTGAAAAACCAAAGGAAGATACCAGAAGTTCCCACCCTCCCAAAGTTAGGTCTTGCATAAATTGGATGGTTGCAAATTTTTTCGTTGCCCGTTGGGATAAAGTTAGAAAACCTCCTGGTTCACAAACGTCAGCAGCGAAACACGACCCTTTGCTTGACAACGAAAGAGGATTGTTATCAACTGATATGTTGAAAGTCACCTTTGGACGATAAAGAACCAACGCGGTTTGTATGTGGACTGGAAATTTGCAGATTGTGTTAGTGAGGTTGACATCTGTTGTTTGAAAAAGGTTGGACTGAACGTTTCCTGTGTCGAACAGGTTACTTTCCTCTCTTACCCGAAATCGTAACCACAACGGCAATTGATCCGTTAAGTATCTCAGAAAAGACTTCGAGAAGGTATCTTTTTGTATAATTTCAATGAGGTCTTCTCCTGTTAATCCGATATTGTGACAATCCGTCCTTTGGTCACTAACTTGCCATCGATCTGATTTACTTGTGAGCCCAATCAGTCTTTCCATTATATCTTTTTCTAATGGAAGTGGAGAAGAAAAGTCATAACCTACTAAGCTAAGAGGGATCGTCCTGTTGTTAGATGTTATGATGTGGACTGGACCGGATTCAATTAAAGTTGGAGTTGATATGTTAGAGTTTGTATGAAAGGCTATTTTGACATCACATGCTCGGAATTTCTTTATGTCCATCCGTTGACATCCAACTGGTAACACGCCCGCTAACAAACCAAGCCTCGTGTAAACACTATCCTGACTTGAGACATTGCGGCCTATGAATACAACACTTTTGCGTGGAGCCGTGAAATCATACTTGTTCACTCCGTCAAGACTATACGTCACCATTCCAACCGCAGAATTGTAACCCGTTATTTGAAACTCTGCCTTTGATGCCGGGTGCTGAATTATCAACTTCTCAGGCTGAATGGTCAAGTTCATGGTGGGATTTAAATAAACTGTCAATGAATTTTCTGGCTTTGCGCCCATCTCCAGTTTCTCTGAGGGCTGACCAGGAATCAGTTTGGGGAAATCAGGAGGACTTACAACACCCCTTTCACACAGGTTACCCTCATATCCAGTCTGCTCACAATCGCAAGAAAATTGTCTTGAACTGATAACTATGCACTGGCTACCATGACGACAAGGATTAGGTTTGCAGAGGATTATCTCTGAGGAAAAGGAAGCATGCAGTTGGCTATCCTTTCTTTCGAAATAAAATAGAAATAAATTGTACTCATTGAAACGTTACTATAATAATAAGTGTCTCTTCTTTTTCGTTTTTTTTATCCATACATTTAAGAACTTCTGCCTGAGAGACCGGGGCAGGCTTGGAAATAGGGGTCGGCCGATTTGGCTCAAATGTGGTACACTTAGTTACTATGGAGACTTATGCAATATGCCAAAGTTTCAGCTCCATTGCTCTTATTTGGGCTGAGTTCTAGATGTTACCCTTTTTGGGGTCTCCCAATACTTTTTTTATGGCCCATTTTGGGTTGGGCACTTTCCAATACTTTGATTACAATGTCAGGGATATTTTAAGCCAAATATAAACTCACTTTTTATTATCTCTATCCTTAAGGGTTTTATAGCAAAACATATGGATCAAAGAAATATTTCTGAAAACTTATGACGGTAAAAAGGCGCTATAGCTCAATACTGTTTTCATTGTTCATGAACGCCAGTCAAATTTAACAAGAATTCTGAACATATTTTCTTTGTTTTTTATGCATTAAAACTCAACATTCACTATGTGTAATAGGGTGACTGTTGACGTCTTTAAGTAATTGCATTAACAATGTTCAACACCTATCATGGCAGTATTTGCAGCTGTTGGATCGGTGGGTGCAGATGTACTTGTCTAGTGCAAGAGCAAAAGTGTCCTTCCTTGCTTTGGATCGAGTAACTTCTACGTCCAGCGACAAACATGCCTTTTTCAGTGTATCTAGTCGAAGGGTTTTGATCTTTCCCTCTGTAGCTAGATGACATAAATGATGCCCCTGGAACAAAATTGGGTGATCTGCCTGTACCTGACTTTTCTATGACAAGCTGCAGCAGTTGCAAGTTTTTGTCCTGGATGTTTGGCTCCTCATCCTCAGTTTCAATACCATGGTTTCCTTTATCAATGTTCTTTGCACGCTGAGACTTTGAGAGATTTGAGAAAAAAACTTGCAATCTGCTTTGAGGTACGCCACTCATAAGGTTGGAATAATAAGCCACCAGTTGTGTTTCTTACATGTTTCATTTCATGTTCAACCTGTTTTGGATCTGCTTTGTTGCCTGTCTTTGCTCCATCATTGGACCTTTGGATTAAGTAGTTTCTAACGTCTTCGGACATCCGGCTTGACTTTTGGACGGTCTTAAGCGGCCATCCCTCAACTGCCTCTTGGCAATTCAAAACGCCTTCATAACCAGCCTGCATTGATGGAAAAGTGCGCTGTTTCTGTAAGTTTACGTTTGATAAGATGCTGGCCCACTTTTTCTTGATGACATCGTACGCAGTGTATTGCTCCTCCACGAAGAGATGGCGTTCCGCATCTAAATGATGCTGAAGTTCTTTGTAGGTAGAAAACATCTTAACACATCCTTCTTCCTCACAAAAGAACAGGCCGGGCGAAATGGAGGAATGTCCAGCCACTGAAGCCCCAGAGCAATTAGATGGTGACGAAAACGGATTAAGACCTTTTATTGCTGTAGCTCCTTGAGCATTGGTTGTAAGGGAAGAATACGGATAAAAATGACCTTCCCCAATCTGATATGCTTTCCATGCCCGAATGCCCTCATCAAAGAACATAAAATTGTTCAGGAAACTGATACCTGGGGTCTTTTTCACCTGTGGATTTTGGGTCGATTTATCAATTTCAACAACTGCAAATCGACATCCCCTAACGCCTTCATGAGATTCAAGTGCAATTTTCATTTCCTCCGCAGTAGTGATGCCATGGCCCTCGTTTACCCACCGTCGCATGTGGGTTTTCATCGAGGCAATTCTACGGTCGCAAACATCTTTGCAGGATTGCGGATCAGAGAAATCATAGGGCTTAAACTCCACTCCATGTCTTTCCCCCATGGCTCTGAGACTCAAGAGAAGCTCAGTGTTGTGATAACAACCGGCGTTATCAGAACGTAGGAAAAATTTGGTGATGGATGGGTCTTCCATCCTAATTACGCTAAGAACGTGTTCGACTATTGACGCAACGCTGAACCAATCCTGGGTACAGGAGTCAAAGATGTGAACAAATGTGTCCACCTCAACTCTGTCAGATGGGTCTTCCATCTTAATTACGCTAAGAACGTGTTCGACTATTGACGCAACGCTGAACCAATCCTGGGTACAGGAGTCAAAGATGTGAACAAATGTGTCCACCTCAACTCTGTCCTCATCTTCGCTAGCGCTCTTAATCGAACAGGTCAGCTTCTCCCCACGCCTACCATAGAAGTCGTCCATCCTTTCGCGGAACTTCATTGGCAGAAATTTCATTGCCCAGTCCATGATCAAAAGGGTGCTTTCTTTATAAAGATTAGTGATGACGTCTTGCTTAGCCTTTTCCTGGACTACTATACGAAGCAAATGCGCCTTCCATAAGAGGATGGAATTTATGGCCCGTTTATGGTCATACTGAGATCTAGCCCTTTGTTCTTCTGTCAAGGGAACGTTCTTGTCATTTAACTTCTCGTCGATTTTTTCATGCTCATGGTTGCATGAACTAGAGTAGTAACTATTATTCGGATCACTGAGCGAAAATGTGGTACAGTGATCTTTACATCTCTCTTTGCTGCCCGTGTGAGTTTTACAATCCGTCTTGAGGTATCTCTTACCAGCCTTTAGATCCTGTTTGATAGAATTTGCCCAGGTGACATCGACCCCGTTATCTTGCAGCACGTTTACAATGGATTTCAACTGATCGAAAGCTTCCTCACTTTCTGTGGCGATGTAATCAAGTCCTTGTGACGAGACCTGCTTTGAAGCAGAGTATGCCTCCAATATTCGGAAGAGTGTACGTTCACTGTATGGCTCAAAAGCTACGCTCTCACAGTAGCTTTGGTATTGCTTAATGATTCGGGATGGAATTAAAGTTCGTATAGCCCGCTGGTATAAGACGTTTCTCTCCGCCATCCAACTTCAACGACTTTGTACCATATGATACATCTTGCAAAAGGGAAGATGAATAAATAAAATCCAGAAAGTGATCAGTTTTCGTTGCATCAAGGCGCACTCTAATAATTTCTGGAGCATTGCTTGGCTTTCCTGGTTCTCAAGTCGGCGTGTCTGCGGGCATCATCGATTTGTCGTTTAGAAATACCTGGAATAATGTCCATTAGTTGGCTTTTGCTAAATGCACTTACAAACAATGATAGTATTTGCATTCGGGTGTGTCTGTTATCAGCTAACTTGTAAGCCTCCACTAGCCTTTCTGTGATGTCGTCAAGCTTTGATTGAGAAAACTGCATGGACTTCATTGTAGCAAACCACAAATCGGCTTCACTTCCAGGAGCGAGACAGTTGAAAGCTGTTTCCATAACCTCTCTAGCCTTACGCACGTAATAACCCTGTTGCCGCTCACCAAGTTCAGGCCATGGTAACCTCGATGTTCTTTTAATTGGACAATTGCATCACTTAGTGAGCATCGTTTTCTTTTCAACTCTTCTGCTTCGTCAGTGTATAGGCTGGATTCAAATGCGTGTGTGAAGGCCTAAGTAAAATCTCAAGTAATTTTAATTTGCATCTCATTAAGAACGGAAAGTTGAAATGATTCAATAAAACTCTCAAGGGACTTGAGAGCTTTGAGAAGGGCAAACCATGTCAATCAATCTTAATTACGTTGCGTGAGAAAATAGCCTTAAGTTAACCTGAAGTAAAAAAGAAACGGTTGTGTGTCAAGCTTTATTTTACTTGAATTATTTAAAATTCACTTGTCTCGAAAAATATTTCTTAGCTTACTTCGGCTCTACTGTAAAGACTACTAATGCCAGCAAATAGTCACGCAATAACAATTGTTGACATTGGGTGTGAGTTGTTTTGCCCCTTACAACCCTTTCATCGCTGGAATATTTTATTTACTGCGCTTTTCACAAACATGCGAATTTCAAGTTCAAAAGCCAATTAACGATTGCGTTTTTTGCTGCCGTCAATCATCTTAGCGGACCTCTTAGGAAACAAAACTTTACTTTAACGGGTTCAAAAGGTCATGGTTTGTGATTTGTGATTGGTGGATTTCGATCCGTTTTGTGTGCTTCTGTGTTTCAAGGTTCGTTGCTTGTGATCGTAATTATGATTGACAGCAGCGAAAATCGCAATTGTGAAGGCGGCTTATGAAATTTAGAGTTCTCATGTTTGTGAAAAGCGCAGTCAGTAAAGAAAAATCTCGGTTAATTTGACTCATCCGTATTTGAGGTTAAGGACAACAGGGCTGAGGATATTTTCACCTTGAAAGACAACTGCAGTATGTTTGAGATTGAACTCGTGCGATTACAATATTTACATTACCTCTAGATCGATGGAAGTCACACTTTCGGGAGTTAAATGAAGTTCTGGAATCTTTTCGTCAAAGAAGGTCTTGCAAATGGCTTTGGAACGAAAAGAAAAACGAATACTATATCAGATAGCTTATCGTTATATTTTAGGTTTATTCCATGGTCCATGGTACTTGAATTCTTGAATATAGAATTTGACTTTGTTCATTACAAGGCTATCCCAAAATAACTCACGACAATCAAGAAATGTTCAGCATTACTTACGGGCAGCGATTGGTATCACGATCCTCGTTTGTTGGTATATTCTCTCTGAAATGTCTGCAGTCACCTGCTTGGGTTTTTTCAATTGGAAATTTCACCTTTATGAAGAGGGTGTTGACATTGTCCAGTTAGTTCTCGTAAACGTGTGAATTTACGGCGGTGTCGCGGACAAATCGTCATCTTCTTGATTTCCGCATTCACGACACCACACCGTCCACCTTGATTCAGCATTAGTTTGTACTCAGGAAAATGTTGAAGTCTGTGCGAGGCTGAAGTTTTGGTGCCTCCAGCACCAACTTTAACCAAAAGGTGAGTTACATCGCGGTCTAGAGATGCTATTAAAAGGCAGACTGACGGCTGGGTCACACAACTTTGAATTATCGCGAGCACCAAAAAGGTCATCATTACTCCAGAAAGAACATCAAATTGATGACATTGTTTTTACTACCTCAGTAGTACAATTTTATGTTTCCAAGGACTGCCAAGAGATACTGATCATGAGAATTCATCATTAACGCAATTAAACAAGATTTTAAATGTAAAGTACGCTGTATCTCTTCAGATCATTGCTCTAAGCAAATTTGGGTGTATCGCGCAGTGTCTTTTTCTTCTCACAAACAAGACTGCAGCAACAACAAAACCAAAACTCACGAGCAGCTGTGTAAAGCCCACCCTCCCCCTCCCCCCGCGCCCATCCTCTGTTTGTGCTTACTTATTCTCGAAGATACAAAGACACCTAGAGCTGAAGACAAGTGAAACTATTTAATTTATGGACATTTTCTAGCTTTCGCGGAACCTAGATGGAAATATAAGATAAAACAAACAAACAAAAAATCTATCTCTCTCAGATCATGACCTTGGGCTGCCTGTGCCCAAAGCGGGTGAGATGAGCAACAATTCATGTTAGCAGGTGTGAGTCATGGGGAATATTGACTCACTGGAAACAAAAACAAATGTCAGACTATGTGAAATGCAAAAGTAAGTCATAGCTAGCGGCAAAGACAATTTATGTGGCGCGCGGATCGATGTGGTAGTGAAGTGGTTGGGGAGAGAGTTAACATGAAATGAGTTTAATTATGGGTTTTGGGTTTCTTTCTTTTTGCTAGAAACACTTTTTACTCAATAACAGTTTAAAATGGCGTCGCTCTTTCACCAAAGGGAAATACTTGCCTTGCATATATTCGCCAGTACAGATGTTAAAAAAAACATCCTCATAATATATTTTGTCAACAAACTGGGATTCAACATGCGATCGAGTTTTAACTCCTGTCGCTAAAAAAAAAATTGTTGTTTTCCTCAATAGACTATGAAAATTTGAAAAACATATAGGCATAAAGATACATAAACAGCTTTTTGAGATTTCATTGTGAATATAAAAATACCCCTTTTAACGAAAATCCTCCAATGTGGACTGTTGGACCGGAAGTGACTTTCTCCTGAAGTAGATTTTCATATCTTGCCAATTTTAATGTTCAGGTGGAATTAGAAAGTAAAAGTGCTACATACAGTATTATTTAGGTAGGTTACTGGAAAGTTTTTGGCTAATATACTCTATATAAGCTTTATTACAAGGGGGAAATGACTAGACCGGAAGTGGCTGTATGAGCATCTTCAAAGCGAGGCCGCACAGTGACAAAGCTGTAACCTTAGTATTTTCTCTTTGTTTTTTACATACCTAGGGCTAAACTTTCTGCTCATGTCAGAATTGTGTTATTTCAAAAGTGGGCACTCAAGTAATTCCGACTTAAATTTGGGTTTCACTAAAATGCCTTTAAGAGTATTAACTTAACAATTATTTCACAAACAACAGAAATATTTCTTTGATCCATATGTTTTGCTTTAAAACCCTTAAGGATAGAGATAATAAAAAGTGAGTTTATATTTGGCTTAAAATATCCCTGACATTGTAATCAAAGTATTGAAAAGTGCCCAAAATGGGCTATAAAAAAAGCCTTCGGAGACCCCAAAAAGGGTAACATCTAGAACTCAGCACAAATAAGAGCAATGGAGCTGAAACTTTGGCATATTGCATAAGTCTCCATAGTAACTAAGTGTACCAAATTTGAACCAAATCGACCGACCCCTATTTCCAAGCCTGACCCGGTCTCTCAGGCAGAAACTCTAAATTGAAGGGATGAAAACACAAGTAAGGACCTTGTAAAATAATCCGTGGACGTAAAAACATTATTTCTAAACTAAACTGCCCCGCAAAACGCTCGCATCTCCATGTTTTTAAACACCAGAAAGTAGATTAAGGCCTGGTTGTAAGTCATTTATGACTTTTATGTAAATTTTCCAAAAACCATATATTTCATGTTAAAGACATCCTCCAGGAATAATAGATGGTAAGGTAAAATAACCTGAAAAAAACTTGATTAATCTAAATTACTAGGACACGTGATCTACCACGCCCTCTTTCGTTCGAAAATTGCAACGAACGATGCCCACCCCTTGCTAAACGGGTAGCTCCAGTTTCTCTTAATCAAAACTTTTACCATACTAAGTGTCCATGAAATCAGCTCGGAATGGTTGGAATATTTACAGATTTTAGGTGCAATTGGTGTTCATTGACTAGTGTCAGCCCTGCTCTAACTAAAATTTTCGTTGGGAGAAAGACGTTAAATGACTTCCTCTCATTCCACCCGTTTTTACAAGAAGACTATCAGTAGCGACTGTTTGGACGTACAAAAGGAAAACGGTTTGCTCTCTACATGGTGGCCATTTCGACCCAAAGGATTTCTTGATAAAAGAGGGCGTTGCTGGTCACGTGATGCAGTTATAAACAATTTTAAAATGAGATTTGAAGATTTCTTAGGGAAAGTTCATTTAATATGACAAGGGGGGGGGGG